ATACACCAGAGAGCTGCTGATGCCATAGTCAACAGGAATGATGTGGCTTCATTCTCCATGAAAAAAAAAGAGTAAATAGAAAAAGAGCATCTATAATTATTCTACTTTGTAGACTTCCTAATTTTATGCCTTGCATAATAAATTAATGGTAAATTATGAATTTTAGTGATGCCTTTTTATGTGTAACAAGCATTTATTGAATGTTGAATAATTATTCCAGGAGATACTGGAGACACAATATTAACATATGAGGAGTATCCCCCAAAACCTGAGTTTTTTTCAAATATGCATTTAAATTTTTTACCAATCTTATCATCTTCAAAGTACTCTCCATTACACTTAATACATTTGTCAAATCTGCGATTCCATTCTTGGAAACATTTTTCAAACTCATTTGTTTGGATGTCTGACAGCACCTTCCTCATTTTTTTTCCACCTCTTCTAAGTCATCAAATCACTGTCCTTGCATGTCCAACTTAATTTGTGGAAACAAAAAGAAGTCACACAGAGCAAGGTCAGGTGAGTAAGGTGCAGGAGGCAAGAGAGGCAGGCTGTTTTTGCCATAAACTGACACACTGTTATGGCTCTGTGAGCAAGCACATTGTCGCAGTGGCAAAACCAGTACCCCATCTACTACAAAACAGCCTTCTTTGTCACGTGATATTATGCAGAACCTCTAAATAGAAAACTTGTTAACAGTCTGACCTGGTGGAAAAATTCCACATGCATTGTGAGTCAACATTTTTGATCATTCAGGAAATTGACAGAGGTCCAGAATGAAGTTAGTCATCAGTGGACTTTTCACCATTTTTGAAATGAGAAAACCACTCAAAAATACTCTTGAGTTTTTCCCATAGCGCTGTCCTTGTTAGCTGTGTTCAACATCACAACACTTTCTGTGGAATTTTTCTGAGCAGGAAATAAAATTTCACAGCCACACACTGTTCTCTTAAATCACAAAAATCGATGTTCAAGTGAAACTGCTATTACAAAAAAATTAATTGTGACCTGAGAGAACCTTCCCAGGTGACAGCACTAGGTGCACTAACTCAGAGCATGTTGCTGGATGCTCACCTCATGGGTAAAAAATGCATATTATAATGAAAACCCCCGCCCAGAGAAGCTTTTTCCCTTTATTTTGTGTGAACCACTTTGTACAACATGATCCCTGATTTTGATAAGATATGCAGATTATTATAATTTATATACATAAGTATATGATTTTTCTGAATTGGCATTATAATGCAAGGAAATGTATATGTAAATGCATAGATATATATTTAAGCATGTGTTTTATTTTGATATTAATCATGTCTGTTTAACATTTGTTTACTTTCTCCTTCTAGGAGATAGTCAACTTCAACTGCCGGAAACTGGTGGCTACAATGCCTCTGTTCGCTAATGCTGATCCTAACTTTGTGACTGCCATGCTGAGCAAGTTAAGATTTGAAGTGTTCCAACCTGGAGATTATATCATCAGAGAGGGAGCTGTGGGTAAAAAAATGTATTTCATTCAACATGGCGTTGCTGGTGTCATCACAAAATCCAGTAAAGAAATGAAGCTGACAGATGGCTCCTACTTCGGAGGTTAGTAACCATGAAATGCAACTGAAATAAAATCCAAGTTGTTTGAGATATGCTTCCTTATCAGAATTTTGGGGATACCAGATTGCTAGTTTTAAATATGGATTTGTAAATGAGTTGCGATCCAAGAATCTATAATAGTATGTTTTCACTTGTGGGTGCCGTGTGTTCAGGGCTTATGAATTTACTAATGTCAGTGTTGGGTATTATTTCATTCTTTTTCACTGAAACCTAGTAAAAGGAGCTTAG